CTTTGCTCGTTCTTTTTTATCCTTTTTTCTCTAATCTTGTCTTTTTGTTTTATTTCATTAAGTTGGTCTTCGACCTCTGATATCTTTTCTTCTGCTTGATCAATTCGGCTGTTAAAACTTGTGCTTAGTTCGCGAAGTTCTCGTGTTGTGTTTTTCAGCTCCATTAATTCACTTATATTCCTCTCTAAATTGTGTGTTATTGTTAACATTTCATCAAACCTTTTCTCAAAGTCCTTTCTTTGCATTGGGTTAGAACAGGTTCTTTTAATTCCCAGAAGTTTCTTATCATCCACTTTTTAAAGCCTGCCTCTGCTAATGGAACACAGTCTTTCTCCATCAGGCCTTGTTCTGTTGCTGATGAGGAACTGTGATCTCCTGTAGAGGGAGAAGCATTCTGATTTTGGGTATTCTCAGCCATTTTAGGCTGGTTTCTTCCCTTCGTTATAAATTTATCCATCTATGGTCTTTATAATTACCATCTTTATGGTTGGGTTTCTGAATGGACGTCCAACTTGTTGATTCCCGGTGCTAAAATCTGAGCAACCCACTGCGCCAGCCAAAACAGCGGCTTTAAGATTGATGGTGCTTTTCTGACTCTGCACTGAGAACCGCTGCACCAAGGCAGCAGCAAAACCACCTCACTGGCCTCAAGAGTCGCGCTGGCGACCCATGGGGCTCCTCTGCTGGGAATCTCCTGGTGCATGAGCAACAAAAATTGATCTGAAAGTGTGGCATTCTCTTGTTCTCTGTGCTTTCAGTGGGAGCTACAATCCCGAGCTGCTAGTGATCAGCCATCTTCGTAATCACAGTGTCTTGCACAAAATAAATAAAAAGCACAAGAATACACACATGTGCATGACCCTACAGCCCAGAGGTATCCACTTCCTGCATTTTGCATATAGTATTCCAGTGTCTAACAAATACTTGTATGAATTTACAGTCAGCATCATTGCAGGGCTAGAAGGAACCATAATCCACAAAACCGCCCTCAGTTTTGCACCAATTGCAAGGGTAAAGGTCCCCAAAACCACCTTCAGGTATGATAATTTGCTAGAAAAACTCACTGAAAGCTGTTATACTCATGGTCATGACTTAGCACTGGGTAGGACACAAATTAAAATCAACCCAGGGAAAGGTGCTCAGGCCAGAGTTCAGGAAGGTCCTACCTGCAGAACATCCAGCTATCCTTCCCTGTGAAGCTGTGAACAGCGTCACTTCTGGCATCCAGGCGGGATCGCCTGAGCTTAGTGTCCCAGAGTCTCTACTGGGGCCCCACGGTTGACTGCCCATGCAGATGGTGGTCTCCAACTCACCCTGGGGGGTGAGCTGATCACAACTTCCACTTAAATCTCACCGTAGGCTTTCTGGTATGGTCTGGAGGTCCCAGGCAAACCAAGACCCTCTCATCAGGCATGACATTCCAAGGCTTAGAGACCACTTCTCAGAAGCTGAGAGAAGAAGCCAGGTCTCTCCAGGCAAGTTTCAATTCTTTATTACACAGTCATGTGTAAAGGATTTATTTTTCTTTCCAAAAGTTGGATTGCACTACACACTTGGTTTTGCAATTGACTCTGGGACTCATGGCGTGACCGTGTGCCTGAGGCTGACTCAGAATTCCCGCCATCGCCCTCTGCTGCTCACCTGGCCATCCTCGGCACCTGGTTGGAAATGGAATTTGGACACTGGTGTGAAAGTGGTTGATATCTCAGTCTGGGTTCCTAGAAGCAGATCCCAAGATGAGGATTTGTGTGGAAGCAGGATAAATGATGTGTTCCCTGGAAAACCAGCATGGGAATTTCGGGCAGTACTGGGTGGGGAGGAGGCCAAGTGCTGGGGGTGATTCCAGCTTCATCCCATGAAGGAACTGGGAAGTTACTGGTCACTGCTCAAAGGTGTCCCTTTCGGGTTTAGGGGCGGTGCTCAGGTACTCTCTGTCTTATCTGTCATTCACTGGCTAAGGATTGTAAATTTCCAGACAGCCTAGCCCTCCAGGAGCTCAGAGAGCCACAGGAAAGTGGGTCCTGTGACTGGAGGGCAGCCCCCTGCAAAATTCAGAAGCTGGATGCTGGGACTGAGAGACCTGGGGATCAGGTGCATAAAAATGGCCAACAGACACAGAGAAATGTGGGCAGAGCTCATGGCATCTGCTACGATTAGAATCTGAAGGCACCTCAGCATTCAGAAGGGCCAGGTGTGATTCTCTCCTGGGTAAGTGTAGGCTCTCAGTGGGGTCAGCTGACCTACACCAGGACAGAAGCTCAGCGGCGGCTTACCACTGTTTCGTCCCTGCTGCATTCGTCTGGGTGTCAGCTCCCAGCGACCTGGGAAAGGATGGGAAGAAGCACGCTCTATCACATAGGTGCCGTGTATGCTCATGCTTCCTCTGGACATCATGAGTGGATAAGTAGGGCCAGGTGACCGTGTCAAATGACCGCTGACTATCGAATGCCTGACCTGTGGCTGCAGTGCTGGCTCTCGCTTTTCACTGGGTCTGCCGCCCGCTCCCCATCTGCTCCACTGCGCACCCCTTCCGGTCCCTGGGCCATCAGCTCTTCCCCAGCCAGAGTGGGTGCCGGCTCCCTCCTCTGCACTGAGCAGCCCGCCCGTCGTCCTGACCCCTCCAACCATTTCTGTTTGGGCAAACGCCAGGGGCTTGAGCAATGGAAAGGGACTGCCAGGCCAATTGCTTTCCCTCCTCCCCACCTTAGAACATCTCAAGGTGTAGGGGCCCCCATGGCCTCCCTGAGACACGTTCACCAGTCATCATTGGCTGTTTTCTTTGTGATCTGTGGCAGCTCAAAATTAATACATAAATAAATAACATAGAGAATCACTTTGAATTCATCCCCTTTCTTCACCATCTCCTCCCCCTAACCCCACTCCTTCTTCCTGCGGATTGCAGACCACCCTCCGCCCCCCTCCCCCCATGACAGTGCCTTTGTTTTGGGCTCAGTTTTCTTGAAGATCAAGGCCAGGTGCCAGGTCACCACATGCAGGGGCCTGGCCATACTCAGGACTGACTGGTTGCTGTGGGCAGGCCAGGAAGATCGTGAAATTGTACTATGGCAAAAACCAAAATAAAAACAGTCTCTGGTTGTCCTGCTGGCTCACCTTTCCTGGCCTGCTGCCTGCTTTGGCTGAGTCTATGAGGCCTTCTGTTGTCCCTAAGCTCTGTCACCACTCTTTTTAAGTTGTGGAAAAGAGAGTCATGCACATGATTCTTGTCCACTGAAAGGCAGGCAAATGTCTGCTGTAAGAACGCAATCGCTTATTGCCTTATAGGTATTGGCCAGTGTTATGTCTGCCTGTAAATTCATCTTAGCATTCTGATTGCCAGTATATGAGCGTGTGTGAATCCTTGTTGAATTGATTGTAATGTCTTACTGGTTTCCTCATTCATTCACAAATAAAACCAAATATTTGGTGTGTGTCCGTTTTATATTTGTATGAGAATCGTGGTTTTACTTTGAAAAATACCATTCTTTTCCTGTCCCCTCAACCCATTGCCCAGAGTCACGCTGGAGAAAGTGCAGCGAGGCTCTCCTTGTCTTTATTTTTCCTTTGCCTGTAACACAGCACATTTTGACGGCTTGCTCACCGGACTCCAAACTCATGAGAGCAGAATCCTCTCGGTCTGGCTTTCCATTGAATCCTCAGCTCCAAAAAAGTTTCTGGCATGAAATAGGGACATGAAGTGAGTTTGCTGAGTGAAGCCTGTAGCCTCAGTTTTGTTTCTGGGTCAGCCAGATCCCAGTGCGCCTGGGATCCTATCCTCCCCTCCCCTCCTCTCCTCTCCCCTGGACACGTGGAGAAGGAGGAGTTGGGATGAGAGAGTTGAGTGGCAGCTTCCATTCTGCTGCCAAAGGAAATGGGGACTGAGATTCATAAAGAGGGGGCCAGGAGAGAAATAATTTTAAGAAGTTTTGAGATGTACCACAAACTTTCCCTCCCTTCCCTTTCCTCTCCTCCCCTCCCCTTCCCTTTCCTCTCCTCCCCTCCCCTCCCC